ATGAATAGAAAACAGCGATGTGAAATATTTGGCTTGTAATGTGCACGGAAAAGCTGAGGACATTGAGAGTATTTCTTCCCCCCCCTCTTTCTATGTGATCAAATTTGCCTGTTAAAGTTTTTACAAGGGCAAAAGACAAACTTTGCACGGGGCTCATTGTGAGTGTCATCAAACTGCTTCATCTGAATGGAGCACTTGTGAGGTTTTGTATCAATAGTGCTCCAACAGTTTTGGAGATTTGAAATATAAAGGCGGTTTTAAAGGTTTCTTTTCATCGGTGTGGAAATGGTCGCCTTTCAAATCCAGATTTTTTAAATTACCTTTCGCTGTTTTGTGTGCGGTGCTTTGTATCTGCTGATTGGTTGGTGGTTTTGAATGCAGCTTTTTGAATGACGGCGAAACCTTGGCCACGTCTGAGAGAACCGTGGAGCCACGCGGCGGGGCGGTTAGGAGCATGGCACTGTGGAGGAGGGGGCGCCAGAAGGCAATATCTGCATGAGATCACTTAAGCACTCGGATCAGAGATTTCTTCACTCCAGAACCGTCTGGTTAAGTAAGGTTAATTAAAAGTATTGAAAACTAAATTCTACAACTTCTACAAGCTCTTCGTCTGACAGAAATGAAGTGTTTTCCTCCGGTGCTTAAAATTTTCAATATTTGTCCCTTTCAGAATGCACATGTGCTTTAAATGTTGTCTAAATATAACAAACTTTGCATGCGTCGCTCTCTGCATAGTTGAAACTGTTTTCCCTGAAGGCAGCAAAGCATCCACTGAGACAAACACAGGGACAAAACCCACACTGTTCATCTGTGAACATCAAAGATCAGCATCTTTGATGTTCAAACTGAACTTTAAATTCCAATTTTATCATGCCCTCTGGACTTGGGGCTCTTCTTGACTTACTGTATTGTCTTGTTTAATGCTTCATTAAACATTTTTTAAATGCCTAAAACTACTGAGCCCGAAAGCTGCCAAGAATGCAGTTTTCATCCCCGTCTGCTGAAAATGACATTACAACATTCTCAGTTACATTTGGAGGGACACATATTTTCTCCTGGATGATGTTTGTTTGTGACGAATACATTTCTAATGAACGTATCTTTGCAGTTTATTTTATTGCTTTAGTCCAAAGGGAGTCTCCCCTCCCCTCATTACCTGCCTGAGACACCCTTTTTGAAGGCTAGGCTTTTCTTCTGTTACTTATTTACATCATCAAGTAACACATTTGCATGACGCCCAGTTAGCAGCTACTTTGGCCACGCCCACAAACAAAGAATAAGCAGCCTCCATGCGGTCTGCTGCCGCTGTTTCTGCTAGCTGCGACTCTCTGCTTATACTTTGGGCAAGATTGAGGTTTGCGATACGTAACCACCATTACCTCGCTCTCATCAGGCCAGCTGACCAATCAGAGCAGACTGGGCTTTTCATATTGAGAGGAGCTAAAACGAATGTGTTTTCTGAACATTGTAAGTATAATCTAGTAAACCACAAAAATAAAATCCTGAACTTGTAAATCAGCATAATATGGGCTTTTTTTTTAAATGAATGTTGGGGATGATATTATTTAAATTCAACTTCAAATTTAGCTAATTTATCCAACTGTTAAAATTAGTGAAAGCTCGGGCCAGACAAGCACTAACAGCTGGTTCATATAGAGGTACGCATCGGAGCAGGCTGCTTAACATTTGAAGTTCTAGATAATTACATGTAGGGTTAGAGTTCAGGAACCAGTTCAAAAATTCCAATTTCTGAAGGAATCATTTGGAGGTCCATCCATCCATTATCTATACACCGCTTAATCCTCATTAGGGTCATGGGGGGGGCTGGAGTCTATCCCAGCCGACTTAGGGTGAAGGCAGGGGACACCCCGGACAGGTCACCAGTCTATCACAGGGCTACACTTAGAGACGTTATTGCTTTACTGTCGCCCTTTTTTCAACAATTCAGTCAGAGAATTCGGGCAGGACTCATCACCTTGGTGGAGCAGCTTTAAACATATTGCAAAAGGGTGGCATTTTAACCCCTTTCGATGCCTAGATAACTGACTCAACAGCGAGTAAGAAGCAGAACGTAGGTCTGAGAATAATGGCGCCACATGGGATGCAAAGCCCAGTCTCCTGGGTGAAAGTCCTGTCACGGACTTCTGCCTCCACCTCCTGACTCAGACTCTGTGGCTCTTGTAAAGTGGAAGCATTTCCTACAGTATCATAGTCGTGCCTTCTGGGGAGAAAATATGATTCTTTCAAAAAATGTAAATGAAAATGCAGTTTGGTTGTATAGGAACAGAATTTTTTTGCATCTTTCTACCAGGTTTAAAAAGCTGTAAACCTAAACACTGTAACCCCACAAAACAATCTAGTGCTCATAACTATATAATTACTAACTCGTCATCTCATTTGTCTACATCCAGATACAGGGAATAAGACACACTATTTGTGTTTGAGTGTGAATGAAAGGTTGTTTTTTTAATCACCAAATTAACAAAGATTTTATCGCGAATTCTGAAACCTGCTGTAACAGGTTTTTTTTTACCACTTAGGGAAGGTGAAGGAAACAACTTGTTCGTGCGATTAAGTTGATAGACTGAATGCAAACAGTTACTCATTTACACATGCAGCTGTTAAACAACACCGCTCTAATTTTCTCGTAGCGGCGTCTGTATCAATCTGTTGAATTTAAATCCAAAATTTTGCTTTTTGACGTCTTGTCAACTCCTGAGGGAAATATCTGGTTCTTTTGCCATTATATGCTTCACCATATTCAGCAGCTGGTGGCTAAATATCTGCTGCTTGGTGCCGATCAGTGCAGTGGAGGTTTTATAAGAGTTTATTCTCCTAAAACAGCTGCCTGTTGAAAGACCCATGCTTTGGAGAGCAGTAGGCTGGATACCTAAATGTTGAGCTGAAACTCCAAATAACAAACGGAGGCTGAAGATTCACTACAAGCAACCATAGACTGTATAAAAGATGGACGTAGCTACGGTGACGTCACCCGTTGGTTTCTGCACTGAGAAAATGAAGCCAGGGTTTTGCTACTTCCTGGTTGACATCTTGGATTTTTGGAGCCAGTGACGCAAAAATCGTGGGAGGGGGGCGGAGCCATAGGAGCAGCGATTGGTCAGACGGATTGAGAGGCGGGCCCTCTCTGCCCGCCCACATTTACCGCCTTCTGCTCGCTTCGTCTGTATGGTCACTGCCGACTGTCAATCAAGCCAGCCACGCCCCTTGCCCTGCAAAATTTTAACAAATTGAGTATTGATTTATTTTCAGATTGACCACCTGATCTCTGAATTTGACCATGAAAACTAATTTTAAAAAAATCCTGAGCTGGAGGAATGCAGTATTTCGTGATCTGTGATCACTTCTTTTCCAATTCATTTCTATGGGAGCCAGGACTTTTTGGAGCCAGCAGCTAGCGGACGTAGTGATACTGCAGGTTTCTGACACTTCCGGGTTGGCTTCATTTTTCAGGGCTGGTTGCTACGTCCATCTTTTATACAGTCTATGCAAGCAACCTGTTTCACATTGTTGATTTTTTTATTTTATTTTTTATTGGAAATGATACATTATGATTTAAAAAATTTCAATTATAGCCACTTTAAAACATGACAGCTATATTGTTGTAGAAGAGGACCGTACATTTCCCTGGAAATCAAATGTTTTAAACGCCTAATAAAAGGATTTACACAAGAACAACATCGAAAACTTGACTTATAACCTGCGATGGCAATAAAGAGCAGCCCGTCCCTCACGATAGCACTGCAATGCTATTTCATTTTGCATATCAGATCATTTATGCAGGCATATCTATAATGGGCTCATATATGCAGCGTGTAACAGTGGAGCTTTGGTGTTTCTTAAGGCTGACGTAGCAGATTTTATCGATGCATGGTGATACTCGATTTCTACATTATGTTCTGTGGATATTCACAATATATAATGTGAGAATCAGAAAGTGTCTCTTCCAGGGAGACTAAAACCTGAACAGAGATCCCTTCATTTTGCTGTTTTAAATGAAGTATTCCAAAATATTCTGCAAACTCTAATACTGCTGCAAATGTTTTTCTTGTCATGAATTATGATGGCCGTGACCTGTGCACATGTCTTGTATTTAATAACTTTTAACAATTTTATTTGCAGCAAACCTGGAAAAAAAAAAAAAACACACATCACCTTCACTTCTTTACCCATGAAACAAAGGAGGTTCTAATACGCAATCAGTTAAAAGGCTTTTTGCTTTAACGGTGAAATTTCCGTCTTTGTCAGCTGGAATTTGGTCGAATGTAGACCGATGTACTAAAAAAAAAAAAAGCCTTCAGTACATGGTGGCTTTTTGTAAGCAATCAGTTCAGGTAGACTAATAGCCTTGAGCTCAGTCTACAGTCTCATGCCCATGTGACTCTCTGATTTGATTCAGGATGCTTTGTTGGAGTCATTTGAGATCCCTAACGCAGCCTGAATCGGATCATATCCCAGGTTCGGCTCTCCAGGACAACGCCCCGGGAGTCAGCCTCGCTTTGCCGTCCACAAACAAATGTTAAGGGAAGAGCACGAAGAAACGAGCGCGGCATCATAATGAATACAGATGCTCTCATACGGGCAGCCAGATTATCTCATGACCTCTGCAGTCACCAGATGTCAAGTCTATTGAACGTATGGGAGATCCGGGGCTGACATGTTAAACACCACCCTTCACCCTTCGCCATCATCAAAACATGAAATGAGAGAAATATCTTTTGTTCATCCAACCAGCAGTCTAGAGACTGGGGGTTTTTAAAATCTATTTTATCATTTTGGCAGGTAAGGACAGAGACTGCACTCGCATTGTCTTTTCGAATCGCACACCATGTGATCAAAGAGCGCATTGTGCTGTGGGAGCCATGACTAATGGCAGACGCTCATTACGAACGACCCTGAACGGGGCTCAGGTTGGAGTTGCTTGAGGGCTGAACAGAGAAACACTTAGTCACTGATGTCTCTTGTTGGCTTTGGTCCTCCAGGTTTTGATGACCGGGACACAGATCTGTTCTTGTGCGACACCAACACATGCAAGTTTGATGGAGAGTGTCTAAGAATTGGGAACATGGTGACATGCATTTGTGATTTCAAGGTAAGACCTGTGATGTTTTCTGTTGTTTGACTGTGTTTCTTCTTTCCTTTTGATATGAAATGCCAACTCCCCTTCCTGAACAGGCCCTGTTGAGCATCTGTAACTATGAACAGGAGAGCAGTCCAGCTTTACTTGTTTTCAAATAAACAACGTACATGGGCTTCAGCAGGAGCAAGACTCAAATAGTTAAAAGAGGTGTATCTTTTAAATCAGGTGTCTCTTTCTAGCTTTAAAGCTAAAAATCAAGAAAACGGGTCATTTTTCTCTGCTGACAAAGAAAACTGTTGTCCGGCTAATTAGCTTTAAAGTGGTAACTCCCTTCCTAATGTACCAACTTAACTTTACTAGCTTGAGGGGTCACAGGTTTAGTACAATTTCATAAACAAATAAATAAACAAAAAGTTTGTTCATGACCAACAAATTCTCTTTAAAGTCATTCCCCATCACCTGCCTCCCTATTCTGGATGCTAATGTAGTGTATGCTAAAGTTAGCAGTTTAGAGCTGACGTTGCCTGAAATAATGTTAGATTTGACGCTGGTTAGTATTTGAATAAACAGAGGAATCTTTAAAAAAAGAAAAAAAAAAACTTATTGTAACATTAACTACCAAACAAAACAAACAAAATTATTGGCGCTAACATTAGCTTGATAAGCTAGCTCCAGCTGATAACGCCTGACAGTCCTCGACACAGTGCGCAACATGTACTGTCCGCCATTTTATTTGAGAGCCAAAATACTCAGTGTATAAATTGTAAAACGCTACACAACTCCTCATTGGAACAAAAAAAAGTAGTAAAGCTAGAATGGACAAACATTCCCAGAATGCAATGTGGTTTAAGAGTGTGACAATGTCTGCTGTGTGATTAGATTATCACGTAGCAAAATCAGATCAAAACAAAATCCAAACGTTGTCAGGCACAGATATTGAATCTATGTTGATGACCAATGAACAAATGTCGGATTCTAAACTATAACTGCCAGTGGGGATGCACAATATTGGGGGGGAAAAAATGACATTGCAGTGGGGTGCTGATTTAAACGAGAACACAAATGAGTTGTTTTGCGCCATCAGGGCACCCGTTTTGGTCATCATTATCTCTTTGGTAGCTGTAGAGGCAGAACATTCCAAAGCAACTCACAGAGAATCCAGAGACCTTTTCTCAAAGCTGCAAATTTTGTAGGAAACCATTTCAGAAGACAGCAAACCCAAAACTTACACCCAAACGGAACATCTGCATATTGCATGTTATGCAAAAAATGAGCACTCCTGGCTCTGTTGGAGGCAACACAAAGTCTCCTGCCTCCCTAAGAACCTGATAATAGTCATGAAATGTCAAAGATAAGCACATCTCTGGAGTAGGGGAGATCACATTCTTCACTGTGACCTCCTGACCTTTCTCTTCCCCTCCTTAACACCCAGAGCTTTCTGTAGATAGCTGAAATATTTCCATACACCTGAGCTTGCTTTTCTTTTTGCAGCCAGATGTTCCTTTTCAGTGTTTCTCTCCTGTTTCCTACTCGTTGCGATGTGCACATGTGGAGCCTGCATGGCAACAAACTCAATTTCTTGCAAATTAAGTTGAAAAAAAAAAACCCGTCTGTATCCAAAAATCATTCAATTAAAGTAAATTGTGTTTTATTCAATAGACTTGTCTTGTAAATTAATTATGGAAAATGAGAACTGTGTGAGTTTTCTGCTTGTAGCAAAAAAATGTAATATTATGTGTTTGACTTAATGTTTTCGAACAAGGTTAGGAAACCAACACCGATTTTAAACTCATCTAAAAGGCATCTAAGTTTCCCTTATTTAAATTTTAATGTTCAACTATCTTATTTTGTGACATATTTTGCTGAACATAAAATAAAAGTCACATTTCCTGCTGGGACACATTTTTAACAATTGTGAATTTAAAAGAAATTTCTAAATACTGTATTGTGTGTGTGTGTTGGACAACAGATTTCATTTCAGCTGAGCAAATCTCTGGTCGCAGTGTTTTAAACTGACGAGCCTTCTTCTATTTGTCTTTATCAGAAATCAAAGATTCATTGTTCAAAAATTACTTTTAAGTGGCGACTCTACCAGCATAAATCACCGTGACAGGAACAGGAAAAAATGTGCAGCAACTGTAACGGTGGGTAAATCAGCACAGGAGTTCTGAAAACTACTGAAAAATTGAATTTAGGCCAATATGCAGTAAAGATTTGTGTACAGTAGAGCTGCAAAAAAACCACAGCAAGTCATGGAAGCCAGGAGTCTTAGACGAGGGTGTCCTTAATACGTGTGTGTGATCTGTTTACAGAACACTTATTTTGATTCCAACACAGGAAATGTTACTGAGAAGACGTGCAGCTGTGTCTACTTAAAACTGTAAAAACATGCAAATGTCAAGTGCTGACGGTGTGATTTTGAGAAAAGCGGCTGGAGATGTGGGAATCTCATGCACATATGTTACTGGAAGCATACGCTGAGTTGAGAGGTTGTATATTTTGTGCAAGAAACAATATTTTAAAGAGTTCTACAATCAGCTGGATCGAAGTCCATCGTCTCGATTGGACAATACGAGTCCCGTGGGGGGGTAGCAGAGCCCGGTTTATAGCTCACAGTGTGACCCCATGTTGCTATCTTGGATCGCTGCACACGCTCCCCATTCATAAACAAGACTGCTACTGATGAGAGCAAAGACTGAAAGGCCCTCATTAATGGCATAAATCTGGGAAATTACGCTGTTCCTGATAATGACTCATACTTAACTTTACGACCAGACCTATAATAAAAAAAAAAAAAAGGAGCGAGGCAGTCAGCCGTGTATTGATTTTGGTGTAACGTTTGCGAGCTTTGCCGATGAATATGCTTCGCGGTGCCCCAGATAAATGGAACCGCCGAGATCTGAAGACGTAGCACGTGTTCTCATCTGTCGCTTTTATCAGCGCGTCATCAGCGCAGGCAGGCACTAGGCAGGCTGACACTCGATTGGTCACCAGCTTTTATCTCAATTTCGTACTTCCCTAGGAGCAAACGTTAACAGAGGCCTGTAGATAAATGACATTACGGCTCCATTCCTCTTCAGGAGATCTCACACTGATACTGCTGCCGCTGTGCACTGAGGCACTCTGCGCTCTCGGAAAAGAGCAGGTCACGTCACAATTTCTGACTTAATAAGTCTGAGGTCAATTCAGCTGTGCATCTTGTGTTTGTTTGCGCGAAAGGGGTTCCCGATGTCACCGTCTTCGTTTCATCAGTCGACGTAAACATGACCCCGAGAGCGTAGCAACTGTTGCCATGCCCCCGAAATAATCAGTCACTCCCAATCAGCGTCAAATAAACAGGTCCGAGATTTTCCTCCTGTTGTCAGTTCATTCAGAACCGTCAGAGGAGACGAGGAAGTTGCATAAATTTTCACCTCGGATGGATTTCCTTTGTTCCAGTAGCATCTATGGATGTGTGCACACATTCTCAGAGAAAAACAGCCAAGGAAGAGACATGCAAGGGGCTCTGTGAAGAGGAAGTGAGTTTGATGTGGTGGAATCAATGGACACTATTCATTGCCAAGATGCATTAGATTCGCCTCACACTGACTCTTGAAAGAAGCAAGACTTTCTCTCGCTAACCGGAGCTGCTGTTTTTGTCAGCTTACACGATGCCCTGACTAATCACATAACATTTCCTCGTAATTCATCTAACAATAGCTGCTGGGAAAAGCCATTGTTGCCACTTTGGTTTTGTTAATGTCAGGTCACAGTGCGGATTCCCAAAGGGGTCATCCGGCCTAAAAATATGTGCGCTCATGGCGCTGTGAAACACTTCAACTAAAACTGTCCACCAAAGGGTAAATGGCACATTTCATTGCTCTCAGTAATGGCGCTCGGTAATATATTGTTAATGTTGTGAGTCACCGGAACAATTTCTCATAACTACACACGAGTCGCTCTGTTTACCCAAAGTGGGGTTTTTTTTTTGGTACATGTTTTGGTGCAGAAGACGTGATTGTGGTAGATGAGAGCTCCACAAATCACTTGTATGGATGTTGACGTGTCATAAACCATCTAAGGCACTGTAAAATCTGTGACAAACATTATCTTTAATGAAAGATTGAGATAGCTGACACCTTGCCTTGTAGTAAATATTGAACTCATTGTTAATTAAAGCAACCTTAAGAGTCACATGATGATGCTAACTAACGTCGGCCTACCTTTTCATGCATGATGCTGGCTTGTTTTTGCGCTTTATCCTCGTGGTTGTTGCATTTTTTTACACATTTACTAGGATTGATGCATTGAACCTACAGCTTGACTATACTGTACACTGCTAGCAGAAGATTAATGCAGCTGAAATGCAGATTGGTGTAACAGATTAAGCAGTTAATTCGGTTTGTGTAGAGGCTTTTGGGTGGCTGTTTTACCAATCAGGAACATAATTAACACGTGCACGTAGGTTGTGAATAATAAATCTGCCTTTTAAACTGTAATATATTAAAATGTTTTTCATCAAAGTCGGCGAAATCACCATAGATTTCGTACAGAGGTTTAGTAGGCAATTAATCACAGCTATTTAAAAAAACAACACATTAGCAAATATCATTTTTAAACCTATGTGAAGTTATTAATTTTGTTTATTAAAAAGCTTTGTTTATGCTCGAGGCAAAATTAATATAACAATCTGCCAACAATAAATTAAAACAGCAGAAAATAATCCACTGCAAAAAAAAATTAGGAGGTAGAAGAAATTGGGGAAAAATAGTAGTGACCAAAGCAAAGAGTTTTAGATATACAGGAATTCTTTTTGAAAGGCATTCAAGTCTCAAAGGGCACAAAAGTTGGAAAGCAGTGGGAGTAGATGCGGCACGTCTGTTTACAAGCTAGATGTCACATTGCAGCAGGTTGTGAATGGAATATCTGTAAAAAGCGTCCAAGCTTTAAGGGGACTCCTGCTGAAGATTTTGCAGATGAATAGGAGACAGATGTTAACACAGCAGATGTAAGTAATGTGATGGGTCATTTAT